GCGTGCAGGCTGGCCCAGCTGGTGTCAGCCCACGACGGCGCGACCCGCCGCCGTCCGCGCCCACCGTAGGGCTGTCGGGGAGGGGCTGTGTCCGCGGCAGAGCCACTTTCTCAGCCGTGGGAGAGCCATTAATCAAGCCGCCGGCGGGGCGGGGCGGGAAAGGGGCGGAGCCAGAGGAGGCGGGGCTTCTTGCTGGCCCCGCCCCCACACGTCCGGGCTCGCGGGGCGCTGCACGTTCCGCGCCTGCGGGGTGGGAGGCCGGGCGGCCCGGGCCGGCGTCTGGGCTCTGGGGCCCCAGCGCGGCTTCGCGGGTCACCGGTGGGCGTCCCGGCGCCTCTCAGGCGGGCCCCGAGCCGAGGCGAAACGCGACGTTTCCTGGAGCGGACCTTTTAATTTCCGTGAGGCCGTGCGGGGTGTGCCGCCTCGCTGCGCGGCCTTTTACTTCCCAGCAGGTAAATGTGTCCCGTTGTCCCGAGTACGTACAGCCCGCGCGCGCCCCCACCTCCGCACCCCGTGACCGTTCGTGAGCCGCGCGGAGATGAACCGCGCTTCCCCCGAACGCTCCGCAGTCGGTGAGACTTCGGGAGGTTCCCCCAAACCTGCCGCGGCCCTGGGGTGGCGGTCGCTTCTCCCCCGGGGGGCAGACCCTTCGCCGGCCGGCCAATGCCCCCGGGGGCGCCGCTCGTGTCTTATTTGGACGTAAAACCCGTCCTGGCCCGTCCCGCGCGGGGGGCTCGCTGCGGTGTCTGGCCCTCGGGGACCCGCGGGGAGCGCCCCGGCCCCGGCGCCCCTGCCCTCAGCGCTTCCCAGGCGGCGTCTGAGTGGACGCACTTTTTCTAGCGACTAAGCAGTACATCCTGGAAACAGTGCCGGCAATTCGAAGAGCAGGGCGTTGAAAAATCTCTTTTGAAAAAATAAAAATCTTTTTGGGGGTCAGGACGGAATAACCGATTTATGACACCATTCATGAAACTGCTCTTGTACACGCGACACGGTTTCATACTGGACAACAGCTTTGCACATGGGAAGAACCAAACACTGCACAGTAACGGTGGCCTTTGAGTACATGGTTCCGCACTTGAGTATATTCGTGAATCAGACTAATTCTCAGGCTTTTATGTCGTTCAGTAACTGTGATCAGACTTACTTTAGACAGAAGCACACCAAAACACCTTTGGTTCAGAAAAGGATTCCTTCCCTAATGAGTGAGAAAGCCAGTAAATGATATGTCATGAGGAATAAAGCAACTGGAAAGCAATGTTTCCGATTCAATAAAGAAGCAAATCCAACAAGAACTTAAAGGTTTTTCTCATGTAATTATATATCATAAAGATACAGCCACAAAAGTTGATGTTACCTAGTTCTATATATAAAAGTGAAAAAGAAAAAAAAAACCCACCAAAAACGTTTCAGACCTCTTACGGCTGAATTGAGTCGTTTTTTTTACAAATTTTCTTTTACTTTTGGATTATACAGATGATGAGGTTCATGTTCATCGCTTTTTGTCACAACCTTTCAGATTCCTTCAGAGATTCCTGTTAATAGAGGGGGGGAAACCTAGTGTTAAATTATTTCAAAAAATGAAAGTTATTCAAAACAGGTAGCAAACATAGAATCTAGGACACAATAGCAATAGTAAAGGCTAATGATTAGTCGCCAAAATGTGTAAATCTTTTCAGAATTTAAAGATTCCCACTCATCCCCTCCCCTGCTTCATTGCCAGGATAGGGAAGAATAGGAAAATCTGAGCTGGGAGAGGTGTGAAAATGGAATATTGGAGGGAAGGTGGGCCAAGATTAGGGTGAGGCAAATGAGGTGCCTGGGACTCAAATTCTGCACCCTGGGCATCTCGAATCCTCACCCTAGCCCACCCTGCGAGGTGGAATGGAGGGGGCACAATGGCGGCTAACAATGGCTGGCCCAAAGAAAGGACTGATGTAAAAAGTACAGTCACTGCCAGCCACCCCCTGTCCTAGCTGCTGCCACTCTAAGCAGGCTCTCTGAATCCTCTGATGATTCTAAATTAGTCCAATTCCTGCAAGAAACCAGAGTTTTCAGTTAAGTTAAAAATAGATGGGGGAAAGGAAAAATATTTTAAAAAGATGAAAGCGTTCAAATTTTCAACATTACGTAAATTGGTAAATAACTTATTTAACGCTTTATATGCTGTGTTTTACAAAAAGTACTATATCGCCCTAGCTGGTTTGGCTCAGTGGATAGAGCGTTGGCCTGTGGACTGAAGGGTCCCAGGTTTGATTCCGGTCAAGGGCACATGCCCAGGTTGCAGGTTCGATCCCCAGTGGGGGGCATGTAGGAGGCAGCCAATCAATGATTCTGTCATCATTGATGGTCTATTTCTCTCTCCCTCTCCCTTCCTCTCTGAAATCAATAAAAGTATATATATTTTTAAAAGTACTATATTTTCCATTTGGTCTTTACAAAAATGCTTTGAGAATTTTACATTTTACAGTTGAGAAAATAAAGCTCAGAGGGATTCAGTGGTTCCCAACCTTCCTAATGCCCCGACCCTTTTAATACAGTTCCTCATGTTGTGGTGACCCCCAACCATAAAATTATTTTTGTTGCTACTTCATAACTGTAATTTTGCTACTGTTATGAACCGTAATGTAAATATCTGATATGCAGGATGTATTTTCATTGTTCGCGACCCACAGGTTGAGAACCGCTGGAAGTAATTTGTTCAAGGTCACACAGCTAGTAAGTGGCAGAGACAGGATTTAAGTCAAGCCGATGGGCCCTAATGCTTGTGCTTTTTACCATACTGTTCTATTTGATATTTGTAGAGTTCTTCATAATCTGCAAAACACTTTTGGATCTATTATTTCAATAAAGGGCATACTTTAACTTGACTCATTAATAATCCAGATACTATTTTCATAGTATATCATTCTCTCAAGTTCTTGTCTAGGATCCCAGAAAGTACACAGCTTTAGAGTGCTATAAATTTTCACAGAATGTGATGTAGGTCTTGAAATTATACTTGTCTTTTTTCTAAATATGTCAAATTACTTGCAATCTTAACTCACTGTTTTTATAATGTAAAATAATCACACAGCAGTGAAGATGATATATTGCTTAATTATATATATATATGTTATATCACAAAAGGTTTCATATAATTGGTAGTTTTTTCACCTTTCAACTCTTTCCCTCATTATTTAAGATATAATTTACATAAATTCATTATTTTGACTATATAGTTTAACAAGTTTTGATAAACATGTATAGTCATATAACCACTACCACAATAAAGATTTGCAATATTCCTCCCCGTCAAATTCCCTGGTGCTTACCCCTAGCCTTGGCAACTACTCATCTGTTTTATGTCTCTATGGTTTTGCCTTTGCCAGAATGTCTTAGGGTTATACAGTCTGTAGCCTTTAAGTCTGGTTTCTTGTGTGAGTATAGGTCCATTTCACTTCGGAAAATACCTAGGAGTAGGACTGCTAGATATGGTAAGTAAATGTTTAACTTTATAAGAATATGTCAAACTATTTTCCAAAGTGGCTGTACTATTTTTGCATCCCCACCAGTAATGCCTGAGAGTTCCAGTTGTCCCATATCCTCGCTAGTATTACCATATTTTTTCTTTTTATCTATTTTAATAGATATTTTAAAGGAAAAAATGATGCAGTATTTTAAAATTAGATGATTTCACAATCTAGATATCTTGCTTGCCAGCTAGACATCTCAAGTTGAGCATACAGGCTTGGCTACATTGCTTTGGAGCCAAGGACATGCAGCTGCCTTTAGTTGGACATGTGCTCTCCAATTCACCTCAATCACAGCTCACCGACTTCCCTCACTTCCTTTACCTGCCTACACCTGAGGGTGTTTTTGAGACCCCCTTGCAGAGTAGCTGAGAGCTTGGCTTTTGGAGTCAATGATACGGATTCAGGTCCTAGCTCTGCCTCATGGCAATAATGTGACTCGGAGCTCCTCTGACTGGCTTCTCCACCTATAAAATGGGGCTGATAGTGTTCTCATCTCATAGGGTTCTATTGATTTTTAAAACTTGTTTAGGTAATGAAGATTCAGCTTTCAAAATAGACATATTAGAATGGAAAATAACTGATACAAATCTCGTAAATTAGATCTTGCAGAACTCTAGTTCACAGAGTAAGCCACTGACAGAGTTGAGACTAGAAGTCACAAAAGCTACCTTACACTGCTTTTAAAAACTTGGTTGCTTACCACAATTGCTTTTTTTTTTTTAAAGGGAGGTTGTATCATAATTTCAAAAGGGTTCTTTGAAGACTGCAAATCAAAATTGTAATATTATACCTACATTACTGATACATCTAAGTTTATTTTACCTGTAAAATTAATTAGGCTGAGGTTTTAACACAGCAAAATTAAAAGCATTTAGATGA